TGGCCCCCGGCGGGAAGGGGCAGGGCAGAGCCACACCGGAGCTGTTCCCTCTCTACGAGCACAAGGGCAGCAGGACCCAGCCAGTCTCTCATCCAGCTCTCCATGGGAAACAGCTTTGCAAGAAACTCTCCGAATCCACCTTGTGCACAAGCAAGTGTTGCTCATTTTGGTCTCCCTGAGATGCAACAACACTACGAGTAAGAACTTCCCTGAACACCTCCAAAGATGATGTGGAGAAGCTGCTTTCATCCTCGCAGCCATCTCTCTCTCACATTAAGGAAATCAACCCTACAATGCTGCAGCTCGAGGTGCTGGCAGGCAGTGCTGTACTCAGAGCAGCTGGGAAGCACCACACTTCATTACACTACTTTCACAGTTACTATAATCCTGTTTTGCATGTAAATATAGAGCAAGAGATACAGAAATATTTAATCTTTTTGAAAAATATCAGATTTTCATACAATAAAAAAGGCATTACAGTAAGAGTACCCTCCAGTGACAACCATTACTGATTTTGTATGCACACCCTAAGCCACATTAGATCTGCTGTGTAAAGCCTCCTCTCCTCAGTTTCAACAACGTCACAGTCTGGCTAACTTACATGACATAAAGTAAGCCAGGAAAACCTACAGAATTCCTGAAAACCACAGCCATGCTCCAGTGTATCTTTTAGAAAAGGTCCTAAAAGTACTCAGACATAATGTCAATAAATACACAAGCCTTAAAACAACATTCAAGCCCAAATCAGGTCCCCTGTTGCACACGTGAGCAGGCAGTGTGGTTTTCTCTCTTCAATGCATAGAAACCCAGACTTTACATCAAGCTTACAGGGCTGAGCACCCCAGCACTGCCACAGCTCCTCATCTCAAGATGAAATGTCTGACTTGTCTAACGGACAGAGCACTAGGCCAGAACTCAGCAGCCTGAATTCTATGATTAAGTCTATTGCTACCACACTCAACAAGCTGAGGTATGCTATTTTCCCAAAGAATACAAGGAAAACATCACCATTTCTTTTATAAAGCACTTTGAGATCTACTCATAAGAAGTTTGAGGTTGTATAAGCAAGCACACAGTATGATCACACCAGTAAACCAGCCAAAGTGCCCATTATGTGGAGTGACCCAAGTTATCTTTGCACACAAATCACACGGTGGCTGCAGTTACACAGTGCCTGGACCCAGCAGGTTATCCCCTACTCGGCTTTGGGGAGTTACTCACTAATATTACACCTGTGATAGGTTTATTTGCAGCATGAGAACAACAGATCAAGTTGCTTTTCCTAGTTTAAGTGTCTCATACACACAACAGTAGCTACGTGTGCTCAGGATCCTCAGTTTGTCCTACACTGTCCCAAAGCCTGAGCCCATCCAGCAGGGCAGAGCCTGGGTAACACGCTTCCACGTGGCTACTGAGGTTCTTCCGTGTACCACAGCCCTGGCCCCAGAAGAGACAGACACAAGCACTCGAGTGCACAGACATAAGGTGCCTGTTTAAGTCTGTCTTGGCTCGAAACAGCTTGGCACAGTTAGGACACTGCATCTTCTTACAGTGCAAGTGGATGGTCTTCTCGTGCCGATCCATGTTTGATTTCAGAGTGAAGGTGGCAGGGCACTGGGAGCACTGGAAGCGGGAGAGCGGACTGGGAAGCATGCTGTCAGTGAGGCCAGGCCGGGGGGGGCAGTCAACCAAGTCCAATGGGAAAAGCATGGAGAAGGCATGCTCATGGATGTGCTCCTTCAGCTCTTCAGCACGTTGGAAAACCCTCCTGCAGAAACCACACGTCAGCCTCTTGGCGAGGCTGGAATCCAGGGAGAGGCCATCAGTGGCTCCATCCATGTCTTCAGATCTGGAGAAACTCGTATCTGGAATAGAAATAGAGACACACAGACAGATCAGTGTCTTCTGCTGTAAACTAGTGACAGTTTTAAAACAGAGTTTTCTCTCCACTTACCTGAATCAGAGTTATCAAACTGCCAAAGTGCTAAAAGTCCATCGTAAGTGGCCTGCAAATGGAAAGTATCCTGGAGTCAAGGCAAGCATTTACAAGAACACATCCCTGTAGTCAGTGCTCAGAGCCCCATCTTACCTCTGCCTTCACCCCTTCTTCAAGGGAGGCTCATCACTTCTCCTGGCCACCGATCTGCCTTTACAAAGCTCTCACTCTTGAAGCAGCCAAGTTAATGGGTTGGATTTTGCAAGGTTTGGTGTTTTGACGAGAGTAATCAACATGCCCCTTCAGGTCCTGGGTAACTGCTCAGTTCCCAGTCTCACTAAGCATCCATAGCTCCCACTCTGGCCAATGCATAGAAAATCTCCAGCAGATACAACGGAACTGGGGAGTCTTCCCTTAGCCCTGCACAGCTTCTTCTTTCCCCATAGAAAAGCCAGTAGAAACCAAACACCTTCTGCAACAGCTCCCTTTATGCAGTGCTCTCTGGCACTGCTGATCCAAATGCTAAACAAGAGGTGATTTTTAGGTTTCATACAGCATTTGCAGGGTGCCAGCGTGTGGCAGATGGCAGCCCTCTATGGGGCAGAGGCGTGATGCAGCCTGGGCAGGTCTGAGCAGCTCCCTTTGCTCTAAAAGTGACTGCAAAGGAAAATCTGTGTTTCTGCCCATTTCTTTAACGGAACTAAAGCATCATTCCAAAATACAGAGACTAAGAAATGCCACAGGAAGCTATGGATTTCATGTCAAGAGTGTAATACAGAAGGCAACCTGCTCCTATTGCAATTTAGATAGTTAGAAGAAATCTAACCACAAAACACCAGAGGTGGGCAGTGGATAGCTGTGGTCTCAGCTGTCTTTATGCCATTCTTATCTTCTTGCATGCTATGTTTTGCAAACAATAGGATTTACACTATAAGGGCACGTATACTTCAAATCCATACAGCTTTGTGAATGCAAGATTTGTTGAGGAAAGGCACAAAGGCTAAAATTAGGACAGCACCAGCCTTGACCTCAACAGACTTCCTAGTTTTAAAATACCCTGTATTTAAAAACAAAACAAGCCTAACAGATCAAAGTATAAGGTGTTGGGTTTTACAAAGTACTCCTATATCCTCAAACCAGGACAACCTAAACCAGGCAGAATTTGGTTAAACAGACACCTTTGCACTTCAATTTGCTGGCATTTCCCCCCCACGATCTTACCTGGGTGGAGGAAGGCACCTCTCCTTTTGCCACGGTTTCTGGTGACATGTCACCAGAGGAGCAGATCTCGGGGGGGCTCTGAGTGGCAAGGTGTGATGAGGGCAGCGGGGGAGATGGTGCTTCCACTTTGCCATCACATTCGCCCCTTGAACGAGTCAAGTTGGTGCCAGGCCCTGGGGAACACAGGAAACGAGTCTCACCCACGTGCACCAGCACCAGCCGGTGGCTTTACACCAGGCCTCCAAAGGCAGCGCTCGCAGCGTGTCTTCCATCAGCGGGAGGAGGGGATGCAGCAGGACACTGATGCCAGAGGCTTTGATGTGTTTGCTGTGTTAAAACCAGCCTCCCCACCCGAGTGCCTGGTGCCTGTGGTGGTGTCACACCGTGTGGCACC